GAAAGTAATATCATTACTGTAATATTACTACTAGTAATAAGTTACTGCCCAACACGGCTGATGAGACTAAAATAGTATAACTGTCTATATAATTGTATAAAGTTTTGTTTTTGCAGTTGAAGTAATAATTTGAGTAATTATTATCTCACTGTGAGAAAAAGGAGACTTTTGATGTAATTGTGACACTGAGGTTCTGCAGAGCTGCTGAACCAGAACAATCACAGTGACACTGAAGTAAAACTACAGCCAGAAGTGTTTAACGTAGTGCCAACTAGCAAGGCTAAATCATTATTGGTCCTTTATTGTTGTTATTGGATATAAATGACGTAGCAGAAGCAGCTTGTTCACAGCCTTTATTTTCTATGCAGACGATTGAGCTTTGTGCAAGTATGACAAAAACTTATCTTTACACTTCTGAATGTGTTGCTCATGGAACAAGACATAAATGAAGACCAACAGTGCTGAACGTGTGTTACGTCCTCCCAGTCCAGCAGCTGTAGTGGATCCATTAGCTGACCCTGTTGGACTGGGAGCTCCCAGTGAACAGGATCAGATACAGCAGCTGATGCAGACTGATGACAGGGAATTTTTGTGTTTTTGTACAGTAATCAGTGAGACCCAGCCCTCAGAAACACAAAATTATTGTGTTTTTTAGGTCCCTTTTGTTGTTAGTTTTCACTGTTATATTTTAAGATAATATTTGTTTCTGTAGTCAAACAGATTGAGGTTATCAGTCAGTTTTTACCGACTATAGTTTCTGTGTTTTGTGGGGCAGACCGGCTGCTGGAGGGCTGAGATGGAAGCGAGCGTACAGATGAACAATGGAGGTTTATTATGTTGCAGAAGGTTTTTTTAGACATTTCTGAGGATGTTTTTATATATATTTTTTTCAGGGTTAAAACTTGTTAATCAGTTGCAACCGACATGACTTAAAGCTGCTGACAAACCTTTTTCTGGCAGCTGTCAGACTGCCACTGTAGAGTGGTCTACAGTGGTGAGTGTCTGTTGATCCTTACAAACGGCTAAAAAACTGTTTCTTGTTCTTCTTTTTCAGGTTCTGGACTTCGTTGCTACAAGTGCGCTGATTACACGGGACAGTGTCAGAATGTGCAGGAGTGCACGTTTGAAGACTCCTGTATATCCCTGAGTGAAAGAGGTCAGTTATCTTCAGTATTTACTTTATTAAACGTACTGTTAGCACTAAGTGAAAAAAGAAAATGGCTTCTTCTACTTAGCTAACTAACGGCTGATGTAAACTAGCTGGCTAGTTAGTTAGCTAGCTAATCTAAATTCAACATTAGCTAGCTAGTTATGTCTGATAGCTGATATTAACAGCTAGCTATCAGTTGATAAAGATAAGTTTATTGTTGCATCTGAAGTTAGCTAATGTTGGCAAAACGCTAACTAGCTAGCTAATCTACATCAATTGTAAGCTAGCCAGTTAAGCTACATTACATTTCAGATCTTCATTAATTGAATGTCAGACGTTCAAATTCTTTATTAATCGTTATCGTCTTTAGCTGCTAGTAAAAGTTAGTTGATTATTTGATCAGTTGATTGACAGAAAAATAAAACTATAAATATTTTAAATATTCGCAGTTTCATTCTTCTTATATGAGAAATGTTCTGTTTTTGTTTTTCTTTCTTTAATGGGAGAGTAAATACATTTTTGGAGTTTTTAATTGGTCAAAACAAGAAAACTGTTAACGGATTACGGAGACCAAACAATTAGTCAATTAATCGATAAAATAATAGTCAGATTATTCGATAATAATAAAATAATCCTCCAGGATCTCGCAGGCTTTTTTTATTTGTTTATTTATTTTTTACTGTTAGCTGATTTTAGGGCAGCTCTTCTGAAACATAGCAATGCATGTTGGGATGTTTTTGCAATGAAATTGCAGGAGAAAATTTACTGTGATTTTTTTTCCCTCTTCACCTTTGCTCATCACATTACCGCCGTCGTTTGTGTGTGTGTGTGTTTGTGTGTGTGTGTGTGTGTGTGTGTCTCCAGGTGGGAAGACCATCCGTCAGTGTATCAGGTACACGGACTGCGATAACTCTCGCCTCAGCCAGATGTTCCCGTCCATCGCCAGCTTCACGTACCGCTGCTGCAGCAGCAACCTGTGCAACTCCGGCAACGCTGTCACCACGGCAACGCCCGTCCTGGCTGCGGCGGCGAGCCTGCTGAGCGTTTGGTGGTGTTGGGTCTGAAGGCCTGCAGGTTGTTGTAGTTCAGTATGAAGCTTGTTTGAGTTAACACCAACTAATGTGACGTCACTGTGGCTCCTTCAGGTTCTCAGGTCAGTAAAGAACGACTGCGTCTACTAATGTTCAGTTTAACAGGAAGTCCAGAACAAAATGACTTTATGTCAAATTCATATTCCCGTCTGTTTGATGATGACCTAAAAACTGAAACTGATCACATTTCAAAATAAATTGTCTCTAAACTTTTTGTTTGGTTAGACTCTCAGATCTCTTCAGTCTCTCGTCCTCCTTCTTTCTGCTGCAATCGATTGTTTTCACAGGAGGATCTTTCATATTATTAGTGACATTTATTTTTCTATATTAAAATACAACCATCTGGTTCCAATTGGTGCCGTCTGTGTGTTCATGTATTCAGTGTGTCAGATCTGTTGCTGTCTTCTTTTTGTAAATTAAACATTTGACAAACAGTTTAAATAAATAAATGTGATTGAAGGCGACTGTGGTTCTACGTTTGTTTAATCTTTATTTTGGTTTCTGTTGTCAGTCGGGACCACGGGCAGCTACATCCCATCTTCTCCTCATTAACTAATATTGTTCCTAATGTTCTTTCTTTACTACAATAATATGAATAATAAATCTGCCTCGCATATCCAGAACCAGGATTAAAACATCTCAGGAGGCCAAATTAAAACCATTTAGAAGTGAGGTTAAATAAAAGAGAATATAAATAAATACCAACAATAAAACAGATAAAACATGTTGCACAATGAGTTGTTTGATGTGTTGTAAAGTCTGCAGACTCCTGATCTAAACTCAATGTGTTTCACTTTGTTTTTCAGAATAATCTGTATGAACTGAAGATTTATTTGAACAGTTGGAGTTGAGATCGTAGAAACAGAAGAAAGAATTTAACTTCGGCTCGAACATATTGCTTCAAAATGCATTTTATTAGAACAGAAACAAACTTACATCACAGAAACAGCCTCATTAATAATTAACACAGATGAGAAATTGATAAAACAAAGATTTAATCAACTTGCCACCAAATAAAAAAAATAGAATATAAATAACAGCCTATAGACTGTAAAACTCCAGCAGTGTCACAGTGAGCATCATCTGCTGTAGGGTTTAAACCCATATGTGACTTATAGAACATCCTATAACACACCAGCTTTATATGGCTTACATTATAATGAATAAATAATAAGCAGTGGTTGCTGCCACGCCTGAAGAATAAAAACAGATAACATATAACAACAAGCTTTTATTGTTGTACAATATAATATTTATCTCATTATAAAGTGTTTCCTGTATAACGTAATAACTTATACTGTTATAGAAAAGTTAATATAAGTTTTTGCAGGGTCTCTGGCAGTGACATTCGAAGGTCGCAGGATTCGGTACATGATTGTGTCATTTCCTGTTTCTGTATTCACCTTTTGCACCTTTTACTTATTCCTTTCACAGAGAGAGAGTTTATCCTCACTCAGTGAAAGAAACCCAGTCTGAGAGTCAGATGTTCAGATTGATTCCACTCTCACGTCTGAACGCTAAACACGAAGCTACAGCCAGCAGCTGGTTAGCTTAGCTTAGCATAAAGACACCTAGGCTGGTTCTGTCCAAACCAAATCCACCTACCAGCAGCTCTAACGCTCCCCATGACAGTCAAATCCCGACTCATTGTGAGACATACTGACGTTATATCTCGTGTACAAAGGGTCGTACAGATCATGAGAGTGGCGTCCATCTTCTCTTCTGCCTCTCAGTCTCATCGGCCATCTCCATCTGGACCTGAAGAAGTGGATGTTGTGTTCACTGAGTAGGATCCAGTTTGTAGTCTGGTCCCTGTTTCCTGGTTTTCAGTCGCTCATCTCTCCCAGTCCGTCCTCTTCAATCTGTCGTCCAATCACCTCCAGCTGCACCTTCTTCTTCTGTCCTTTCTTCTCAACCTCTTCCTTTGGAGTCTCTGATTGGGCGTACCAGGGCTGAGGGGCGGAGCTATCGCAGGTCCGGCCTCCCCTGCGGAAGCCCCCCCTGCCGGCCCGGACCAGGCCCCAGCCCTGCAGCTGGCCTGTGTTGGAGCTGCCCTCCTGGATGCCCCTGGTCTGGTCCAGCTCCTTGGCGCTGAGGGACGACATCTTGATGGGAACCGTGTTGCCGAACTTGGAGTAGTCGACGCAGTAACGGGCGTCCTCCTCCGTGATGATGGAGACGAAGCGCCGCCCCCACAGGATCTCCTCAGGAGTGTAGGAGGTCCGAGCCTGCATGGTGATCCCCGTTGTTTCCACCACACCTACAAACCGAGGACGACTCATTCTTTAATGATAACACAGTTAGCATTGCCCTGATCAACCAAACTCCATTCAGAAAACAAACATTTTAAACGGAGATGTCATTATTTCAGTATCAAATGCTATCAAATAAAGATCTGAAATATAAACAACGTGTAGTCTCTTTATCTTTCTTATACGACTATATGATTATTATTAGGAGTGTGCTCTGATGTTTAATAATGTGTTTAATATTCCCAGACCTTTATATCTTTAAGTGTTTCACAGGCTGTGCGGTACTCTCTATATGTTGTTGTTGTTTAGAACTTGGAAAACCACATCCTAAAGGAAAAATAAACTTGTGAACAGGATCCAGGTCTGCGTGGGTCCCGACCTTCCAGGATGACGACGATCTCCAGGTCCTCGGAGGCCAGCGACTGGGCGGAGAGCTCGTACAGCGGACTCCCTCTCTCCATGGTGTGGCTGATGATCAGAGGAGAAACCAGGAAGATGCCGTTGCTCCTCAGAGGGTTCTCCACCTGGATGTCCAGCTGGCAGACCGGGATCACCTCGCCCTCCGCCGTCACCGTCCGCCGGATCACCTGGAGGGAAAGTCAGCATCCAAACAGCTACAGTAGGTACGGGCTCCGAATGAGACCAGTTTATGTTTATCAGCTCAGAGACGAGACTGGTTTAACTTCACTGGTTGTGGTGAAACTGTTTTATATAATATCATATAATAATATATAATATAATCTATGGACAGATAGCTTGTTGCTACGGTAACTGCTAACTGCTGTTAACGGTAGCTGCCTTTAGCTAGTTAGCAGTGTCTGTATCGTTAGCTACACGGCTCACTGAGCTAACTAGCTAACAGTAGTCCAGTTATCTGTCCATCAGGGAGTTCAGACGGAAAACCAGAACACATTTTATGATTATGATCCAGATCAGAGTCCTGGTCAGAGCCGCTGTAAATCACCTCAGTGCGACAGCCAGCAGACAGTTAGCTTAGCATCAAGACTGGAAACAGGGACAGAGCTAACCTGGCTATGGACAACCTTTCTGTGGTAATTTGGGGTCTGTAGCTTTTTCATCTCTTTGAGCTTGTTACTGTCTCTTTCTCTCACTCTTTCTAGAGCTTCCAGTCATAAATACACAGTGATGTTTAGCTCAGAGTCGTCACCTGCAGCTGGATGGTGGCAGAGATGATCATACTCTTCCTCAGGTCTCCGACTCTGAACATGAATGTCGGGCGACCGTTTCGTGGAGCGATGACGGCGTTTCTGGAGAAGATGAGCGTCTCTGCTCGTCGGTTGGCCTGCGCCGTCTTCATGAACACGCAGCCGAGCATCACGGCGTTGATGATCAGCCCCAGAATGTTCTGGATGATCAGCACGGTGATGGCCAGAGGACACTCCTCTGTCACCATCCGGCCCCCGAACCCGATGGTCACCTGCGGCAGACGGGACGTCAGCATCCACAGCTAACAAAGCACAAACACCTGGACCTGGATCAGCAGCTCTCACCTGGACTTCAATGGAGAAGAGGAAGGCTGAGGTGAAGGAGTGGATGGCGGTGACGCAGGGGACGGGGCCCGGCTCGCCGTTGGGGTCACGGGGCTCCAGGTCTCCGTGAGCGAAGGCCAGGAGCCACCAGATCATAGCGAAGAGCATCCAGGAGCAGAGGAAGGCCGAGGTGAAGATGAGGAAGGAGTGCTGCCACTTGAGGTCCACCATGGTGGTGAAAACATCCTGCAGGAACCGACCCTGAAACCCACGAAGAAGAGAAAGGAGCGTAAAACTGCACAGAAAACAACCGTCATCCATATCTCGTATCTCGTATCTCAGCCTTTCATACAGCGTTCATACGGTATTTTCATGAGGCAAAACTTTCTTTTAATAGTAAAAAAACGTAATAATAATATAATTAATAAAATATGGACTAAAACTCAAACTTTAACAGTAAAATCAAACTCTAATGTCCTTTCACTGTAATAGTAGAAGGTTTATACTGTATTAATTACAGAAAATATTGTTGTAAGTTAATCGGTCCTGACGCCTTCTCTGCTACACGTGGACTAGCAGCTCCGTACACTGTGTTGCTCTTTACACTGCGTCACCTGACCCTTTTACCCCCAGCTGATCTGCTCTGGGTCAGTATGAACTGGCTGATTGAAGCTGGATCAGCACTTTGACTGGATGGTGAGTCTGTGTTATTGATCGGGCCTGCAGCCGCTGTTAGAGGAAGGAACCACAGTCACACAGGTAACACGTTCCCATTGGTTGGGACGTACCTGCTCCCGGATGTTCTTGTGGGCCACGTTGCAGGATCCGGTCTTGGTGATGAAGCGGGCTCTCTGAGACCTGAAGCGGCCGCGGTTCGGCTGGTTCTGGTCCTCCGCCAGACGGGTCAGCAGGAAACCGTCCGGCAGGAGGCCCTTCCTGGCCAACATGATGCTGCACACACACACAGTAACACACACAGTAACACACACACACAGTAACACACACACAGTAACACACACAC